ATTTTACATACTATATTGAAAAATCTATTTTTCAAGATTTTTTTAATGATATAATTTTTTGTTTATATATTCAGTAATATAATATTTTGTCACTTGGGTAATAATTATAGGGTGGAAAGACCACATTAATACCATATGTGCAGAAAATATAAAAGGAAAGGAAGAAAAATAATAACTAAAGAATAATCAAAAATATATACACTAAATAAAAACAAAATAACTTAAAGCAAATTGGGAAATACCAGGGAGACTTCAGGAAAGGAAGATTCTTAAGCCTTAAATTACTGATAACATGTTACATGGTGAGACCCAAAATCCTCTAAATATCCTTCGTCGACTTCAAGAAAGCCTATGACTCGGTAGACAAGGAAACCTTTCTGGGAATGCTGAGGGAATATGGAGTAGACCAGAAAACAATAAACCTGATAAAATTAATCCTTACCAACACGAAATCTTAAGTGAAATTTCAAGGTCTAATCAGCAAATCCTTCCAGGTGAAAACGGGACTAAGACAGAGAGACCGCCCTAATACTAATACTATATATATATATATATATATATATATATATATATATATATATATATATCTATATATATATATATATATATATATATATATATATATATTTACAACTTTTCCTTAATCGACCTTTGAGTATTAAATTTAAACTTAACTATTTAATTGGGAATAAGGTCACTTAATTATTATTTAATAAACTATTGAATGTTCATTTCTTCTGTTTATTGACGTTTCGATCCCGGTATTTTCTTTTTATTAGTCAACCATGGGATCCTCTTCAAAGCTAGAATTTTAAAAAATAGAGCTTGAATCATTGAAGAGGATCCCATGGTTGACTAATAAAAAGAAAATACCAGGATCGAAACGTCAATAAACAGAAGAAATGAACATTCAATAGTTTATTAAATAATAATTAAGTGATCTTATTCCCAATTAAATAGTTAAGTTTAAATATATATATATATATGTGTGTGTGTGTGTGTGTGTGTGTGTGTGTGTGTGTGTGTGTGTGTGTGTGTGTGTGTGTGTGTGTGTGTGTGTGTGTGTGTGTGTGTGTGTGTGTGTGTGTGTGTGTGTACTATATAATACTAATAAAATATTATTTAACATAGTACTGGATAAAATCATAAGAGAGTAGGGACCAGGAAAAACCACATAAAAGTGAGCTGCCTGGCCTTTGCGGACGACTTAGCCCTCCTGGCCGAAAAGGAGGAAGAGGCAATTACTCAAATACATACCCTGAAAGAAATAGCTGAAAAAGCAGGCCTACAAATTTCCTGCGGAAAGGCGGAATTTATGACAACAGAGAAAAGCTAGGTCAAGAAAATAATAGAAACGAAATATGGACAAATAAAGGTAACAAAGAAATTTAAATATCTAGGAGAGACGATATACAATAATGGTTTGGAAAAAGGAGCATAAAAGAGAAAGTCACAAAGTTGGAAAAACTAAGCTTCACAACAGGCAATATTTCTAATATTAAAAACCTATCTTCTAACGCAAAAGACACTACAACACTGTGATAAAACCAGTAATTGTGTACGGGATAGAGACAACATGTGATAAAACCAGTAGTTGTATACGGAATGGAGACAACATGTCTCTCTAGACTATAAAAATGACTGAAAATAGACAGATAGATTCTGAGTAGAATCAATGGGCCCAAGAAGACACAGAAAAGCTACAGGTTAAGACCCAACCAGGAAATCTACAGGCAGATATAAGACTTAGAAACCGAATAAGTATCAGAAGACTAAGATTCTACCGGTACATGATAAGAATGGACCAAGGAAGTCTTTGACGAAATCCGTGAATACCAAAGCGTAAGTAGATATATAAAACAAATGAGAGAAGAAATAGAAAAATTGAAAATAACAGACAAAGACTGCCTGGATAGGGAGCATTATGGAAAAAAAATTTTAAAAATCAAGATTCTTGTGGAAAATAAAAAAAAACAGAAGGGTACTTTGTGATCTCAAGAGAGGAAGCAAAGGCACGCAGAAATGATGAGAAGATACTGGGAGAAGAGAAAAGCGAAAATGAGAAAGGAAAAGTAATGATATTCGCGTGGTCTTAAAAGGCCGTTTCATGAAAAAAAAACTTAAATCAAGTAAATTAAAAATAACACATAAAACTATAAAAATAATACGCTACTCAAGGTATTGAAAAGTAATTTTATATACCATATAATCATTATATATAATTTAAATGCAAGAATTACCTAAAATATTCAATCAACTTAATCAAAGAAATTTTAATTTTTACACTTGTAATGAGCCTTTCAAATCCAATCATAGAATAATGTTTCATTTTCAACAAAACTTCAACATTATTATTATTATTATTACCACCCAATTTTTTTCTTAGTTCGATTTTTCTTTATAATTACCTAGAGAAATACTACGCGAAAAAATAATTTTATTATTATTTTTTTTTTTTATCAATAATAATATTTCAAATAAATGCCAAAAAAGAAATTAACAAAAGAATATTTTGTTTGTGCATATGTTCCTACCACACGTCTATTATCCGTTTTTTCATTGCGACAAGGCTACTAAAAAGAAAAAAAAATTAAAATAGATTCCATTTGCGTCCACCTTGTCTGTTAAGAAAATTTGATTTTGTGAGTTGAATTACTCTTGGTATCGGTCTATTTTTTATGGAGCGTTCGCTTGAAATTAAATTTTTAGAGTAATCATTAAATAACCAAATATTTGGGTTAAAGTATATTTTTATTTAATGTATAAATGTGTATATCTTTTTAATATATTAAAACATATTAATTTGCCCTTTCAAAATAAGCAGTTATTTAAAAAAAAATACTTACATTTTAAATTCAAAACCCAAAATTTTATTGAAACATTTTCGAGTAAATTGCTTTATATTATTTTTTACAAGTTAGTAATTCAATGTAAGTTTGAAAAAAATAAATAAAAATAACATTTTTTTATTTATTATTGTTTTGATCTTGATTTAATCAATAAATTAGATTCGTGTTATGACGTGCTGATATTTATTTTTAAATACATTGCCTAAAAACACTATTCTAAAACTGTTGACTTTTATTGGTGAGGGGAGATGAAAGAGAGGGCGTTAAAATTAAACTTGGTCTTCGTTTAAAAATCTTATTTCTCGCCTTGCTTTGTTGCATCTAGTTCGCACCTCTAGCCAAGTGATTTTTGTATATTGTAAAGAGAAACAAACACCGATTCCACGTACGGAAAAACGCGGAAATCAGTACTTGGCTAGTCAAAAGTAAAGACTAAGTACTATGAGATGTCGGAAGGCTGACTTCCAGCTAGTCAGTTAGGACCTATTCTAAAGGATATATATATATATATATATATATATATATATATATATATATATATATATATTTTGGCTTTAAAAAAGGCTGCATATGAGCTGGGACTCGCTTTCAACTAATATGAAATTATATATATATTTGTCAGTTTCTGACACAAATCTCAAGAAAACTATTGCCGTTTTGAAGCGATTGAAAATACTAATCGAACGTTTAACACTGAATCTTAAACTAGTTGCAAGATGGATTGGACTACAGATGAAGGTCAAGTGTTGAATAATTAATACGTTACAAAGGTCGAATAATTAACGAAATCATTTTTTTGCCCCACAAGTCACATGGCTAGACATTTTCAACGTTCTCCATTAAATCAAACGAGACTAATCCCTAGACGGTTTTAGAATAGAATAGAATAGAATAGAAAATAACTTTATTCTGGGACAAAGTCCCTTTAGAATAACAAAATAGAACATAATTAAAATACTACATCTGGCCAAAATAAACAATAATAAAAAAAGAGAAAGTAAAGAAAATATTAGTTAAACAAGCTATATACAAAAAAAAAAAAAATCTATATACAAAACACTTAAAACTATGATAAAACACTTAAGACTATGTACAGTAGGAAAAATTATAATAATACTCTTTTGAAAAATGAAATAATAAAAAATAAATTGAATTCTTCTTTAAAATGAGGTGTGTTTCTGCTAACAAAGAAAAGACAAAGCTGACAATATAAAATATCAGTGTCTTTAAATAATGATTAATATGTAGACTCATCATTGTCCAATGCTAGAGGTACCGATTTAATTAAATACCAATAAAAAATAATAATAAATAAAACAAACAAAAAAAAATATATATATGTGGTCAGTGGCATTAAGAGCCGGAAGATATTGTAATATCCCTAGTGAAGTTCACAGTATAGAATAGTACTATCATTTGATGATGACTAGAATATCGGAAGTTTAGCAAGTATCTGACTGTTTTGGGGATAGGAATTGGAATAGGAGGGATTTGAATGTGGATATGGAGGGGGAATGCCGAATTTTGATAGGTAGATAATTCCAGAAATTGACAGCGCGAGCTATAAAGGAATTCTGAAATGAGGCAGATCTGTGCGAAGGGATGTAAAGGTCAGAAGGTCGAGATCTTGTTGAAAGGGAGTGGACTGAGGACTTGAATTGGAGAAGGTTGTAGGCGTAAGAAGGCCGATGGTTGTTGATGATTTGGTAGAGGAACGTACCTAGAAAATATTGTCTTCTAAAGGAGGGGAAGAGCCACCTTAACTCAGTGTAGTGGTGAGAGACATGGGTTTTACTACTTCTAAAGTATAAAAACAGATTACAAAGAACTTATAATTAATGAAATGCTATGATTATAAAAATTGAGGCATTCAGCTCCAAATCAACATTTTGTATTCTAAATTGACCAACAGATGAAAGAATTTCTTCCAATACTTACATCATAACGTAAGGCCCTCTTCCCAGACACTAACGTAGTACTTGCACTATTAGGGCGTGTGTACATTTAATTTCTGTCTAATTATAAGTTTTTATTTTAATAATTTGTGAAATATTTTCTATTGCATACTGTACTGTTTCATTGATATTTATTATAAGAAATAAGTCAATGTCTAATACAAATAATTATTAAAATCCATTATTATTTTTACAGGAAATCAAAGGAAGAAGTAATACACTATGCATGATTCCCACACATTACCTGCATCGAGTTATCGCCATGGCAGACAAAAACATGGTACTTTAACAGATTCTTTAAATGTTTTATATAATATATTATTAATAATATTTTCATTAAATTGCAAACGGTATGAGTAATAACTACGGTCACTTAAGTTCCTTGTTGTTACTTTTATTGCAGTCTAGACATTTAAAATATTATGAAATAATATACGCTAGTGAGAATTCTTACATTAGATAAAATTCGACGTATAAGCAACATCAGCAAAATACGATTATCCCTATCTTCTTATTTAATTTTTTTTTTCTGAATATATATTTCTTATCCGGCTTTCAGGAGCGATAGATTTTTACAAATGACGTATTGAAAGAGAATATCAGGTGGAATGCGCGAATCGTAATATTGATTCCTAATTTTATACTAGGACTTGAATAAAAGTGGGATGTTTTATACCACGCGATAGTGCAATCTCAATGAATGGAGACGTTAAGAATAAATTCATACTTTTATTTATTTATTCATAATTTTATTCACAATTTTTAGTACATTATACATGAGTATTTGAAAGCTTATTAAATTCCTTACAAAAAGTTTAAAAAATCAACAAAATGATAACGGTTATGATAAATTACTTTCATGGCATATATTTTTTATTTTTACTCTTATTTTCGGTTTTTATAACTCAGGAGGAATCTATTACATCGAGTTGATGTTTGGAATATAGCTATAGTATGAGTGAAATGTTGCAACGGAACAATTTGTACCGACACAAGGAGCAAAGTGGTTCAAATAACTTTTTAAGGAGAAACCATGTTGAGATTTGTGTTTCGCATATCGGAAAACCTCAATATACGAATTTTCATGGCGATCAAATAGTAATTTTTTTTCTCTAAATTTTTACAAAGACTCCCTTGGATTTTTTTTTCGAAAATCATAAAAAAATGTGATGACTTTAACTATCTACACGAAATTTAGCAGAAATTTAGGGCCACATAAACTACTCTAAATGACAAAAACTGGACCTCCGTAAACAAATTACAAATAGAGATATAAAATAAAAACCTGTGAGAAGTTTTTATTTATTTATTCGTTATGCAGGTATTAAATAAAAATGCCATTCATTCGGTTCAGAAGAGCAATAATTCATCTTTCCAACGAATATAGCAACATCTAATCTGGATAAAATCCTGATAAATAATGAATGATTTTGTGAACAGCACCAAACAAGGGAAAATAGTGAAATGGTTTGTTTCTATTGTGACAAGATTAGGATCTCTCTTACCTTCTTATATATTATTTCTAAATACATATCCCTTTTTCGGTATTTGAAAGTATTTTTATCCCTTTGAAAGTATTATTATCCCTTTGAAAGTATTATTATCCCTTTTAAAGTATTTGAAAGCTTCCGAAACTCCCTACAAAACATTAAAAAAAATCATCGAAATCGGATGATTTGATGCTGAATTATAGCGTTTAAGAGTTTGGGAATTGTCCCTTTTTTCCGAGGTACAGTATTTTAGTGTCGATCAGTAATTTTTTTTTTAAGTTTAATTAAATTATTAATGTTATTTTTATTTCTTTAAATGTGTCTTCCATTTAACACTTTTTGGAATGATTGTCGATGTGCTTCAATTACATGAGCTTTTAAATTTAGATCTTTATTAGTGCGACCAATGGGTAGTTTCTCAACAAGCGTGTTTCATGTGATAATATTCCTATGTACACATTTATTTGATGTATTCATACTAATACAGTTGTAAATATTATAATAAAAGTTTAAAAAAAAAAAGTTTAAGATCTTTATTATTGAAGTTTATCATACATCCTGATAGGTCTAACTATTCCTTCCTTAGAATTTGAGCCTTTAGTCTTTTGCAGTCATCAGATATTCAAAGCAATGTTTAGAAGCTTTTGTAAATTTATGATAATCCAGTTAAGGAAAAATCTAATATTAAAATCACAAGTTTAAAGAGACGCCACGGTTATAGCATGGCAGATTGCAAATCATATTTATAAACTGATAGCTTACTAAATATAGAATAGAATAGAGAAATACATTTATTCTGGGAAAGAGCCCTTTAAGAATAACAAAATGTTGCACAACAGAAGAATACTTCTGACTAAGAGAACTACATTAAATAAATAAAATATCTTATGTAAACTAACAAAATATACAAAACAAACTGATGAAACTATATACAAAATCCTTAGAACTATATACGATACAAATAAGAAATGAAACAAAATAATCACTGTTCAGGTAAAAAAAATAATCGGATAGGAACTAAATCAATAAATGAAAAAATAATTCCTCTTGTAAATGTGCAACAAGTAAGAATAACTAACGTAAAGTAAAATAAAAGGAAATAAAGATTAATATATTTTATTTTGGTAAGAATTAAAACATTTATAACAAAAATACTAAGAAAAAAAATAAATTAAGCAATTTTAAGAGCACATTAATCTTGCAGAACTGAAATGACACGGTATAAAAAACGTAAGCACAAGTTTATAAGTATACGTAAGAATATATACAAATTCATGAGAAAATATATTTTATCCCCCTTGATCCGTCGACTTGACGAAATCTCCTAATTATTTCATTGGCTTTTCTTTCGGAAAAGGGATTTATTACCGTATTATATATCGTGTAGATAGTGTTACTATTTTTCTTCTACGCTATAAATAGGGTAACCGATTATAACGTCCTATTTTTCTAGTTGACCAAGATGTTTGGAACTTTGATTAGTGATTTTTTTGTTTATTTACTTCATTAATTGATTACTTCTATATGAACAATAGACGAGCATTGATTATAATAATGAAATTTGTATTATTTTTTTTTTCAGATGGTCGGAAATGCAACTGTTGTCCATATGGATATCACATAGACTTGGATTTTGTCAGATATTGTGAAAAAGTCGCTAATTCACAACTTTTAGGGAGTCATAAAAAACCTTTAGGGCGTTCTCGGACAGTCAGAAAAAAAAGAGAATCGATAGAATCTCTATTGGGTTTAGAAGCGCCAACACAAACAGTATGTCATGTTGAATTATATTCTATAACTATTAAATGTTATTTATATTACTATTTTTTTTTTTTACTAATCGTTGGTGTTTTATAAAAAAAAAAAAAGAGCAAATTCAACAATGAGGGTAGGCTATTTTTTGTATTCTTAGGCTGTTTTAATTTTTGTTTGATATGATTTTTTTAATCTCTAATTTTATTTATTTTTATTTTTATTTAATTTTTTTTATTTCAATATTTTCTAATATTATTTTTTTTTTTTTAAAGATATTTAAAATATATATATCCTATTTTTCTTAATTTAATTTGTTTATTTTTTCTATTTATTTGTATTTTTTAATTTTTCTTTTTTTATATTTTATGCCACTTTTTTTTAGTTTATATATATACGTAACTTAAGATATCAATTTCAGTCGGATATTAGGTCATTAAAAACACTTAAATGAGCTAAAAAAACTTCTGTTTATTCTTTTTGTTCAAATGTTTCGATCCCTGTTTTTTAACATAAATAATGGGATCCTATTCAATTCTGGAAAAAACAATACTTACCATTGGTACAACAATTATAGTTTCATACATTTCAACAATAATACCAAAGTTTTTTTTTATTACTTTAATTGAGCTTATTAAATCCAGACGCCAATCAAGGAACCTCTGGCAAAGAACAAGGCATCCTGTTGATCGGAAATTATACAATTATTATTCCAAACAGGTTAAAAAATAACTGGCTTCCTTTAGATCCCAATCCTACAATTCCTACCTTTCTTCCCTCTCTACCGAGGACAACTCCCTCTGGAAATTGACCAAATAGATCCTTAAATACCACTCTATTTCCCATCCCTTCCGATGCGTCTAGTATCTGCCATTAACCGTTGACACAGGACAATCGCATCTTTCCCGTTCAGCCCAGATTCCCAGTTTTTCCGCCGCCCTTCTCTTTTCTTCCCTGAGGGGGGTCTGTCGTATTTCGTGCGCATACTCACAAGTCCCTATAGTGTCCTGGATGGTCTTTCTCATTCTCCACCAAAAGTACTTTCTACGCAATGCCTGTCTCGTTCACTCCCCGGTCGTTTGGTTTCCCCTGGTGATACGCAAGGATCACTTCTTTTTGTCGTTGTCGTCCGTTATCGTTTCCACCATATATTTGCATCGGACAAACATTCTGTCTATTCCGATTTTCTCGGACCTCCAAATTCTCTTGATTTTCTCCCTTATTGTGGCACAATACACCCCACATAGAGATGATTCGTCTTTCCTGGTTTGATGCCTCCTTAAGCGCCCTGCAAATCTGATCTTCACGTACCTCTGGTTGCGACCAGATAGTGTGAACTTTGTTTCTTCCATACCTGATGTAGTCTATTTTCATCGTACCCGCTGTCCTATTCTTCCAGATCACCTGGTGACGTTTATCATTGATGATCTCATCAATTTCTTCCATCTCTGTTGGTCTATCCTCTGCCGAGCTCTCATCCTCTAGGTACTTTTCTCCCTGCCCTATGTCCCCCGTACCGTCCTCTCCCTCTCCGTCAGGTGTCCATTCACTTAAGAATCGGCGTACATCATGTGATGGTTCCCCGCTGTCCTCTTCTACTGCATTAACCATGATGACTCCAGATAGCCAGTCTGCCACTACATTCTCCTTTCCTGGTTTATAAACTATTACAATTTTGTATTGACCGAGGAATTTCTTCCATCGCGCGATCCTCGCCGAGGATTCTTTCCCAACCCATTGGAGGGGCCTGTGATCGGTGCGGACCCGAAGCTTCCTTTCTAAAACGTAAGGCCTAAAATGATCGATAGCGCCACACTCTCTCCAAAGCGCTATATCTCGTCTCTACATCTGTAAGACGCAGCACACCCTCGTTAGCATCGGTGGTAACATTGAATTGTTTACTGAAGTCCGGAAACTCCAGTACCAGTTCTGTTTGTAATCTGTCTATACACTTTCTGCTTAGCACCTTTTTTTTGGTAGATTGTTAATTAGGACCAGATATTCCGCTATTTCTGGCACGAATCTCCTGTAATAATTAAGCTTACCGAGAAGTCTCGTGATTTCCTTACATCTCGAGAGACCACCATTCGCCTAATAGCCTCTTCTTTCAACGCGTCCGGCCTAACCCTGTTCTTCGAAATAGTGTGCCCTAAAAAGTTAATCCGTTCTTGCACCAATAACGATTTTTCTCAGGATAGTTTTGGTCCAAAACGGCGCAATCTCTTGAATTCTTTTCGTAGGTGTTCTACGTGCTCAATTTCTGTCTTTCTAAAGACCAGCAAATTGTCCATATAGACCGGGCAAACAGTTTCGTTCAAGCCCTTCAAGAACGTCCATTCAGCGTTGAAAAGTTATCGGAGCATTCTTCAGTCCGGGTAAATTCGTAATACCCCTTACGAATGTAAATGCCGTCTTATGTTGGTCTTTTAATTAGGTGATACCCTGCTTTAAGATTCAACGTTCTTAATATTACCGCCCCACTCAGTAGGTCTAATATGTCTTCAAATCTGGGGATCGGATATTTTTCGTCTATCGAATTTTCATTTAGTCTCCGGTAAGTTACCACTACTCGGTTCTTTTATTTTGTCTCGCCCGGCGCTCCCTTCTTTTTCACTACCCACAAAGGACTGTTGTATGGAGACGTGCTATTGACTATTATACACAGCTTTTTTAGACTTTCCAATCCCTCCCAGATATTCTGTCTAAGCGCTTGTGAATATCTCCTCTCCTTTACGTATGTTACCCTCTCTTGCTTCAATGGTATCTCATGAACGGTCCTCCCTGTCACGCCTAGTATATCTCACTCTTTGAAGAAAAGGTCTTCAAATTCCACTTTTACCGATTTCCTCCAGTCCTCGACTCTATTTACTGCTCCTTTCCGTGCCCTCTTATATCTTGTGCCCTCTCTACATCTGTACGTCTTTTCCCCTAGCTTAATACTCCAGGTCCCGTTGCTGTTCTATACTCTAGCCCCTACCTGTCCCAATAGGTCACACCCTATTATCGCCTGGTATTCCCTAGTCATGTTCCCTACAATGTGCACCTTCAATTTTCCCCTCTTTCCTGCCCACCGGTTGAACGCAATGACCGCTTCTCCATCCACGCTACACGCTCTCCCCTCCCAAGAGTGATTAGTTTACAATCGCACTCCTGAATCCGGGGTGCCCTCTCACTTCCACACAGCCTCTCAAGTATCCCACGGGTCATAATAGTTCTAGTGCTTCCCGTGTCTACTAAGCATCCCACTCCCACTCTCATTTTAATAATTGACAAGCAGCAAGACATACCTCTTTTGTTATTGCATATCACTATGCGGTCGCCGCTCTGCAGACATACTTCTCAGATCCCCGCTTGCTTGCTCTTCCCTGCTGTCCGCTCCACTGAGTGCTCCTTCTTCCTTCGTCTCCGCTGTGAGTTGTAGTAGGGTTCCTCCTCACTTTTTACATGTTGACCTCCATCGGCTCCTCATGTGATGTTTCCCTCCTTCTGAAAATGTACGGGCATTGCCTCGTAATGTGGCAATCTGTCCCGCACTCGAAGCATTTAGTGCGGGGACATTGGCATCATTGTGCCTTCCACAGCCATGACACTTCCTTTCTTCTTTTCGGGGTCCATTTCGTGGTCTGGGTGGTCCCGGTTTTCTTTCTCCTGTTCTGGCTCTTCCTGTGTTCACGTATCAAGATTCTCTTCTTCTTCAGCCTATCGGAGTGGCACTGAAGCGTCTATCGTTAACTAAACTCCATCCAGCTTCCTCTATCTCCATCCTATTGTCTTCTTACCTTGCGCTAAAATCGAGTACTCCGACATACTGCCCACTCGTCTCTCGTGGCGACCGGCGCTCTCTGAACATCTGGAAAATATCTTCTTCTGGGGTCCACCTGCCTTCCCCGAAAGCCTTCTTCAGCCTCTCCTTGATTACCGGCCATGGTGTCTCCTCGTCGGCCTGTATCTGGTTAAGGATACTTCTCCTTACTCTATATACCAGGACTGCTTTCAATGCTTCGGCGTCTCCCAGGTGTACCAAGTTTTCGGACACTTTTGCCTTTATTCTGGAAATGAGGTGGACACCACCAAATTATTATTGAGTTCGCCTACCTCTCCACCGAAGCGTTCCAGGTCCGCTATCGCCCTCCTTAAATCCTGCGTGGTGGTTGCTCTTACTTTGATCCATTCTAAAGCAATAGCATGCGCTTCTGCTAATGTGTTCCTCGGTAGCGGACGGATTTCTTGAACCTGTGGAATTACTTGAATCTGCGGAATTTCAGGAACCTGAAGGCCTTCCGGTACGTTTGGTACTACCGGGTTAGGAATTCCATCTGTCACCATTTCAGCTCTTCTTCATTGCTTGAGAATGGAAGAGTGAAAAAAAAAAGAAAGGGGTTGAGATATAACACACAATGCTGCTTTATTTGTGAAGTAATCCTCCTTAGATACATTTAAGGCGTTGTTTACATTCTAGGATGGTATTAATGCTGATATGGCCCGACTTCTGTCCTTATCTTATATATATGTGTGTGTGTGTGTGTGTGTGTGTGTGTGTGTTTGTGTGTGTGTGTGTGTGTGTGTGTGTGTTGTGTGTGTGTGTGTTTATGTATATACGCGTATGTCATTTGTAGGGCTTTCTCACTCAAAAGGAGTAGAAAATGTGTTTATCATAAATTAATCCACAAAAAAGTTGTTAACGACTTATTTATTCATTATTCACCCTTACTTTAAATGTATTTTTATTATTTCTAATTCTTGATTGTTTTAGCTCGAAAATGCAGATATTGAAGGGAAAAAAGAGGAAAAAAGAAATGAAAATTTTTTTGATGATTTTAAAGAAGCTGTTTTAGATTTTGAGCTGATGTGCAAAAACACAAGTCCTAACAAAACGCGTAAGTATATCGTATTTATGCATTTAATTAACGTTACCCTGTTATTAATCATATTATAATCCATTATATTCTACAATTTGTAAAATGCGAGTATTTATTCATGGTTATTATCCATAAAAGAATTCTTAATATATGAACAATATAAGCGAGTGGCTATTAAATTTAAAAATTCTAGTCAATATTTTTTAATATTACATCTTTTTTAAAGTTGTTCAACTTCTTTGATTGTTTTCTTTGCCAACTTCTTTGTCAGTTTCTTTGATTGTTGTTCTTTGGATTTAATTATTCGAAAAATAAGTTTGCTAATCAAAAGAAATGAATGATTTTGCAAAACAACTTGACATTCCTAATATCCATGAGTAAATTATTTCCTGATTTGGTAATATTGACATAAGGTCTTAAAGGGTATAATTGCTACTCGTTATCTCATCAAACTACTTGCTTATTGTCTATAAATAAAAAAATAACTGTGCCTTTTAATTTCCATTCAAGGCAAATTTGCTAAATAATATTTTGTTGAATGCTTTCAGATGTGAGAAAACAAGAAGATGTGAGCCAGTATACTACACTTGTTAAAAATAACGATATACAGCCGAAGGATTTCTTTGAATCTGATGTGTGTTCTGCCTGTAAATCGAATGGATCATGCAGTGAAAGTGCAATAAGATTGCAGGTTGGTCTTTAAAATTACTAGCATTACCGATGATATGTTAATGATATGCAATTGTTTGGATTACCGATAATACCAATTCTATTCTCAGTTAAATTGATTAATTACTAAAACCTATCTTCTAAAAAAAAATATTTTCTCCAGATATTGTAGTCTCTATTATTTTCATTAAGTGGTTCTGTTATTTTATTTTAAATATCTTTAATGCCACTTTTTAATTTTTTGTATAGTTCAAATGATGCTCTATACTTATTTTTCGAACATTCAGTTGCTTCCCAATTATTTATTATACTTTAGAGAGAGAGATAATTGTCATAGACCTGCAGAATGAGAATACAGCCAGATACAAAATGTTGCTCTCAAAAAGCGGCCAGATGTTCTTAAGAAACTTCAATTCCTATCTTCTTAAATATTCGTTCCCGACTCCTTGGTAGTAACAGCATCTTGTCCCAATTCAAAAGAGTGAAGCAAAATTGGAAGACGCGTTGACCTTTTGTCCAATATATTTGGTTGATATATAGTATAGGCTAGGTATTAAAGAAAATAAATACCTTCAGGTTAGAATAATTAACTTAGGGTCTAAGCGGTCTTTCAAGGACCCAGTGTATAATTCTGAAAAACAGCTTAAATATTATGGATGCTATTGGACCAGTGATCACAATTTCCCGTAAAGCTACTGCAGGAGTGAGTAGGAGATGAGGTACAAAGTGTTATGCGTCAATCATCACTCCAGATGTCAAAACTGCTCTTAACATGGCGATATTAGCCTGCGTAATGGGAACCCGACATACTATGGCTATGTCTACCTATCTTATGAGGGTTTTCATAGACTACTTCAGAATTAGTATCACGTTTGATGATTGCTTCTGTCTAATGTCATGTAACGTCACCGGTGGCGTCCCACAGGGTTCCATCTTAGGGCCTCTAGAGTCCCGAAGTTTTAGAATCTCTACAAAAGAAGAATGGAAAATATACAATAACAGTCCAGCTCAAAAAATAGAAAAGTTGCTGTTTTATCGAAAATGGGTCTTACAATTTTTATTAAATCAGGATACGATTAGATAAGCTTGTCTTCCTTGAAATATTCCGAATGGGATTAAATGCCGAATTTTCAAAATTACTTCCTCTGATTTGGTATACTTTATATAATTAACTGTCTCTAATTGTTAGTTATAATAAAGAATGAGTAAATATACACTGAGATTATTTGATAATCTACTAAAGGAAAATTATTTTCCCTGGTTGAAATTACCATCGTTTCCAAATACAATAAAATATATATAAATGCAACCTTCCATGTACATTTTGCACCTTATTTAAACTGCTTTGCTTTATAATTTTTTTAAACTACCAGAGATCATAAATACCGGAAAAAGTTTCATAGAACTTTCGAACCTACATTTTGTTATTAATTATATTATCTTTATTATTTCTCAACAAAACATCGCACTCTCATTATTTCTTAAAGTAGTTCACTACTTTGAGGTCAAATGTATTTTTTTTAAAAGTGAAAACCCCAAAAGCTCCTTGTTACCTAAACATATGTCAACTTCACTCTGCTCTTACGTCGACGTCCTCATCAACACGTTAAAATATATACTAAGATACCAATTTTTATGGAGATAGTAGGTTGGTGATTGATTATTTTTATTTCTTATAGATTTAAAAAAGGAAAGAAAAAGTGAAATGTGAATAGTCGTATATTTTTAAAATACCAATATCGGGAAATTTAGGGGACGAAATAATGGGAATATATGTTCGAAATACAGTCTAGTCTTGTAATATGTGAAATTTCGAAACTATCTACAAATTAATAAATTTTCATCAATGAATAGCTTGATGATAAGTTTGATTTCCAGACTATTACTAAAGATAAAGAAATACGAAATTAAACCTTGAACTTAACGCCATTCCGTTTAGTAGAAAACAAATTTTGAGATTCTTATTTAATTTTAAAACTTTCATAATGTGTCACAATTTCGAATAATTGTGCACCTTAAAAGTTGTAATGTGAAATATTATGCAAGGTAGTATGGAACAATTATTAAATTTTTAGTTTTCAAAGATTTCGAATTCAACTAATTGTACACATTACAGGACATACGAACACAGATGGCAAAAAGCTTAAAACGGATGAAAGAGCTTGAAGATGAAGTAAAACTAATGCCTCAACTAAAGGTATTTTTTATGTAATATAATTTATTTCATTTTAATTATATTTTCGTTTATTATTTATTTTTTAAACAACATGTACTACTACTGCGAAGAATCCTGGGGATCTGGTGGTCTTATAGGATATCTAATGAAGAACTCTGGAGTAGCACAAAGCAGCTTTCTATCCACCTCGAAATAAGGAAAAAGAAATGGAAATGGATAGGCCAAAGGACACACTTTGATGAACAGACAGTGGCATCGAAAAAGAAGTTTTACAATGGAATCCCCTCGGAACAAGAAGAAGAGGAAGATCTAAAGAGACATGGCGGAGATCTGTTCAAAATTACCTGAGTCGGGTTCGTAAGACTTGGCCAGAAGCAAAAATGATTGCTCCAAAAAGAGCGGAATGAAACCCACTCGTAGACGCCCTATGCCCCATCAGAAGTCAACGGTTCAAAAGTCATTGGTTTTGATTAATGGCATTATTTTGACATCGTGAACAACAATATATTTTTTATAGAAGTACTTTGATTAATCTCAAACCTGCTGATGCAGTGGTGCCCATCCCACCAAGGCCGATGGCGCATGCCCTCGACCAAAAAAAATATTATTACCCTCCTCACTTTTATAATTGATATGTGATATGAGATTTTATATTTTAGACCTATATGAGATTTTATATCAATGTTGGTTTAAATGATATTAGATATAATATTGTTTTCTTTATCGAGAATACTAAAGGCACAATACGTTAGGCAACTATAATTAACATCACTATACTCAAAATAACATCAGTATCAGTCACATAGGACATCAGTAATAGTCGCATAGGATCCACATCTGGAAGATCACCGGACGTATAAATACTTTTACCGCTCATATCCCTGTCCATCCCGATTCTCTCCTTGCATCAGACGCTTAATCCCGATGGAGATGATAGGCATCTTTGATGGGATTTTAGATTTTTTTTAATTGATATTACACAGAGAAATGCCACGTGCGGAATGGAAGGACAGACAGGAATTGAGGATTAGAATCTATAGGTGGCTAATTTCCGCTTTAATTGTTTACAATAATAGTTATAGGAACTGCGATCGGCGGGATGTCTGGTTCGTTGACATAATGAAGTGGCACGGCGTTATAATGCATCAGATCCGGAAGATGTCGAGGTAAAGTATATTCATTAAGAATTCTGGAGAACTCGATTGGGGAGGAGGCAGTCCAGATAACTTGGATAATAATAGTAAAGGATAATCTTTGGTCATTTTTGTCAAAAAGGATCTGACGAAAGAGGTTCCGACAAATTATACTTGTTACAATGAAAAACGTTGGAAAAGGTTTGAGAATGGGAGCTTGTAAAACTTGAAGGATTAGAAGGTTATGATCAGAGCAGAGTTTACTTAAAAGTGTAGAGGGAGAGCCGCTGTATTTAATCATGGATATCTGAATACGGTTAGTGTTGCCCAAAATCGGTCTTGGTCTTGCACTTTGCATGAATCGTTTCCAGCATGAATCTCAGCCGTATCCTTGTTTTTCCAATCTATCCATCTGGTTTTTGGCCTCTCACGTGGTCTCTTGCCTACTACTCTGGCGTTCACTGTCATGTAAAGGCGTCCTGATGAATTGCTACCAGCTACATGCCACGCCCATCTTAACCTCCTTGCCCTCATTTCATGAGATATTGACTGACCCGTTTCTTTCAGCAGTTCTTTATTGTTCCTTCTCCTCCATGTGTCAAGGTTCTGGTACCATATAATTCCTGTTATTTTACGTCGAACTTTTCTTTCAAATATCTCAATTCTGGCTTCTAGTGTGCCGTTTAGAGCCCAGGTTTCACAACCGTAAAGCAGAACTGGTTTAATCACGGCGTTGTTCAGCCTTATTTTTAGATTTCTGGATATTTTTCTGAATTTCAGTGCCTTTGAAAGAGGGAAGAAAGATCTGTTCGCACTAGTTATTCGCTGGTCTATCTCTGTTAGTTGATCATTTATTGAGGTTATTGTGGAGCCGTCGTATTTGAATCTGTCTACTTTCGTGAATGACATAGAGTCCTGATCTACTTTTCATCGTTTTTCAAGTTGAGTTTTGTCTGTTGGATATCCAGTTCTATCCTACTTCAATCTTCCTCTGGGTTTTTCTCTTAATACGAATATGTTGTGGCAAGTTGGTCTTTTGTGAGTTGTTAACTATACTGGTATTGTTACCTTTGATGTGTTTTTTAATGTTACCGGCAGTTAATAATGCCGTAAATTTGTCTATGGCACCATCAATATCTTGTTTTGTCTTTAGCGGAATTTTTAATCTAATGTATTTTTCAAGTTATCACGAAATCTGTCCCAGTTAACTCGTCCAGTAATCAATGTAGGATGTGAGGGTTTAAGAGTAAAGTTTGAATGTAGTAAAAGCAGAACGGGACAATGATCTGAAAAAAGATCATCAAGGGATTTGATTATGGCTTGGGAAGAAGAAATCTGGGAGGTGATAAATATATTCAGGATATCGGGACGGTTTTTAAGGGATGTTGGCCAATAAGTAGGATTCATGGGCGAGAAGATAGAATAGCTGTTGTAGGATGAAACACGTAAAATGATGTTACCACGGGATTTTGATGTTCGACAACCTCATCGTTGGTGTTTAGCATTATTGTCTCCTCCGGCAATAAAGCGCGGTCCGAGGGATTGGGATGAGTCAAGAAGGCTATAAGAGATGGTAATCGCCAGTCCTCCTTAATCTAGCCCTGAAGAGAGTTGTTAGAGTAATAAGGACCAATCCTGGAAGGACTATATTCAATCGACTTACTCAATGTCTTGCATATGCGGACGTTATTCTTATCAGCGCACTCACATTGTCGGCCCTTGCGGAATCCATCGAAAAATTCAATGTGACAGCAATGCCACTTGGCCTGAGGATAAATGAAGGGAAAAGTCTTTACATGAAGTCATCAAGGAATAATGTAGCTATGCATGAATTAATCAGCACCTTTTTTCCAATGAGAACAGGATTCAAATACCTCGGAGTGATAGTGACTGACCAGAACAAAATGCAGGCCGAAATAATGACCAGAATTACAGCTGAGAATAAGTGTTTTTTGCCATAGCAAAAATACTAAAATCCAAGGAACTGACCTGGAATGCTAAATTAATAATTTATAAAGCCATTATAAGGCTAGTCGTTAACTATGGGTTTTGACACAGGAAAGTGAGAGATTGCTGATAATCTAAGAGAGAAAAATCCTAAGGAAAAGATACGGTCCGAAGAAAATAAATGACCAGTGGCGAATACGGAAAAATTACGAGCTCTATGAGCTGTATAACAATGACGATATTATAGCCACTGTCAAAAGGTGCCGACTCAGATGGCTGGGCCATGTAGAGAGAATAGGTTGCCTAGGAACCTTCTCTATAACCGCCTAGGAGGATCACGTCTTTGGGGAAGACCCCGGCTGCGGTGGATCATCGACGTAGAGGAGGACCTCAGCTGCATGGGTATCGGAAGATGGCGAAGAAGAGCTGCCGATATGGAAGCCTGGCGGAAGCTTGTTTCAGACGCCAGGTCCATTAAGGACTGTAGAAGTTTCACTAATATTAGAAAAGGACACCTCGTCTTCTGAATCTTCGCTTGAAGAGTTTTTATCCACATTCATACTGTCCATGATTAAGATAAGAGAGGAAAAAAAATATGAAAAAAAATATATACCTAAATAAAACAACCAGAAAAATAATAATTTAAGAAATAAATTCTTTAAAAAATAAACTATCTACAAAAAGAAATAAAATAAAACATTTCTAGAAATACACTTCTTCTTTCTCTACCTCCTTTGTGCCTTTCAGCGTGGAGGTGCCTTGATCCATGCATCCCAAGCATTTCGGTTCCGAGCTAGAGCCCTCATATCCCCTATCCTCATACCTCTTTTCTCCCCCATCTGGGAGATGTACTCCATTCACGAAAATCTGGATCTTCCTCTTGGGCGCTTTCCTACAGGTCTCGCCTCCATGAATTTTCGTGGGTCACGGTCTTCATTCATTCGGCATACATGCCCGAACCATCTCAGCTGCCTCTTTTCTATTGAATTCTTTAGTGAAACAGTGCCTAGGTCGTCTCTTGTTTTTTCATTCCTGATCTGGTCTCTCCTGGTTCTGCCGGCTACCCTTCGAAGTTATTTCATTTCACTAGCAGTAACTCTGCTGAGGTGTTTGGTTAATGGAATCCAACTTTCACTCCCATATATAAGGGTTGGTAGATATACTGCTTTAAAAATATGCATTTTTACATTCCCCTCTACCTCCCTTTTCCCAATGACTGTATTGCATTAGCTTTAATACACATTATTGGCCTTTTTAATCCTGTTGGGAATTTCATGGTCAACCCTTCCATTCTTGTTTATTACCGCACCAAGATTTGTGAAGTCCACCACCATTTCCAGTACCTCTCCTTTGCAATGAATTTCAACAACCTCCTGATCCCGTCCATTATTTCGTCCATATATATAATGAACAGTAGGGAGCTCAAGCTGTCTCCTTGCTTAACCCCTTTACTCATGCCAAAGATATCGGACTCTATTCCATTTATTCTAACTATGCCCTTTGAGTTCTGTTACGTGGACCTTATAGTATCTATCAATCCTCGTGGAATATTTTTGTCCATCAGGGCCTTCCATAGTTCTTGTCTAGGGACGGAATCGAATGCAGCCTTTATGTCCAAGAATGTGAGGAATACATTTCTGTTCCTTTCCCAAGCCTTATCGATTATTGTTCTTAAAGAATATATGTGGTCTTGGGTTTGACGGTGAGGCCTGAAAGCAGCTTGCTCTTCTTCTAAATGTTCCTCCACCATTGCTCTAAGTTTCTTCTCCAGTATTGAATTATATATCTTATATACAACCTGTGAAAGACAAATAGGTCTGTAATTTAAAAAATAATAAAATAAAAATAGAAATACACAAATAATTAAAAATAAAATTAATACAGCCTGCGAAAAAAAAATTCTGCATTCGAACTCGTTCGTGGATGATCAGCCGACTTATGGATGTAAATAGAGGCCTGGCCATGACCTTAACGCAAGTAAGATAAGACTCACTAGGGAAGTACCAGCCACTTTACCTAACCAAATGAGCACCATTTTATAAATCGTTTATTGTTAATAAATAGCAACTCAACTGAGAATCCATGAACAAGAAATCTGAAGTTGATAAAGTGGTGACTTTACAAGTGTTTATAAAGTCACTATAGATCAAGTCTTACACAAGAATTTTAAATATTAAGCACATTAATAAGTAAAATAGAGCGACATGAAAGCTAATCATCAGTTGCGTCCATGCCACTTACTATTTCGAGTAATATCAAGTTTCAATATGTTATTGTACCGATCGTGAATGATAACATGAAAATCCAGTCTCTACTTACATCTATTTGCTATGAGACACAGGGGGCCCATCTCCCCCCTCCCCCCCGAAGGTCGATGGCCAAGAATCTACCCCTCCTCTCCCAAGATATTTTATTGCTCACCTTATCTTAAAAAAAGAGCCAAGGGGAGTAGAATTTGAAAAATCGTAGATCATATACAATTATCATGCAATCTGTTCCATGTTTTCGCCTTGTCCCTTATTCTGAAACTTTTCATTCCGAAAATTCATAACCCTGTTGAAATGTGCCTCCCCCTTCAAAAAATCAAAACCCCGTCATAATATGGCCCATCAAAAAATTTGATGGCACAACTTCCGCCATAAACTTCTGTGCACCCCTGATGAGAGAAGTTAGGCTGCCAAAATTAAAATAAAATACTTCCTAACAAGGAAGAGGGTTATAGTTCTGTAAATTATCTAAATAGGTCGTTTCCTATTATTATTTGTATTACGATTTTTTTGACTGTATACATTTTCTATTTATGTTATAAATCACCTAAAGATCTGGACCGTGTAATTACAAACTCTACTGAAACAGACACCTGTATATCTAAACTCGTATATGATCCATGGTGGCCCAGACGGCTGACCCATTATAAAGTTTATAATGGGTTTATAAGTTTATGTTTGAATACGTACAGGGTTTATAATATAAACCCTGTACGGATTCAAACACCTCAGTGCAGCCTGCCCACGGGGGAACTTTATTTTAATTTCATTTTAGTTGTTTAAAAGCAATCCATAAATACACTAAAATATTTTAAATGTTCAATAAATAAATGCAAGGATTTTATACTAAATATAATGTGGATATTAATCTCATTTCTCATCCCCTCCTCCGGGCTATGTTGAATAATAAATGTATCATATGTTTAGTTTCAAAAAATAAGTTTAGTATTTTTGGACTTTGGTATAAATGATGTGTTGTGTCATTCGTTACTTTCTATGGTCATTAAGAAATCTGGAAAAAAAATCTCTTTTAAGTTGAAATTGGATTTATATATTCCGTTTTATTAAAATATTTTTCATCATTTTGTGGATATAAAACAAAAACTAATATATATACTATAATTTTCAGAACCAATTAAAAAAACTAAGTTGGGAAAACAAACATTTAATAAAACTATTGGAGCTTAAAGACGAGCGTACGGAACAGATAAAAAAAGAACATTACAAAGGTATGATATGAAAGGTATATTTCACCATCTTTTAAATACTCTAAAATAGGTTCAATGGGTTAATTTAATATATATGTATAAAATTGTAAGTTCAAATTATGGACAATATTACAATTCTTTAATTTATCCTACTTTCTATAAGAGTGTCTGCTTAAAAATTATGATCAGTTTGTCTTGCTATTTCATATCCTCAATCACTCTTATTAGTCTTTTTATTTACTTTATATCTTTTTATTTTCATGCATTCGGATTCGATAGATGTTAGTTATTATCCTACTATAATGAACGCAATAATACTCTAATTCCTGCAGAATTAGAATTATTTTTGTCTCCCTCATATTACATGGTAATTCTGGGATAATTTTTACCGGTTATCTGAAAAACACTCTCTCTTTAAACAGACTTTCGAAACAATGACTCATGGAAATACCGTTGAATATTTTGATGCACTTTTTCGGATCTTAAATACTCTTTCCAAACTATGTACGTTACGAACCTTCCCCATCCCTCCTCGAAATAATCCCTCCGCGCCGACGTGTGAAAATTGTTGAGGGTGCCGAACTATAAGATCACGGAGTATGGGAGATCCTGGGAGGGTGGTGATATTGTTTCGAATATATCCTATATGCCTATATGCAATATATAATGTATGAAAAATTAGCATCTCAGGCAGGTATTGAGTTGTTTCAAGCCCTTCCCGATGACAAAAAGTGTTGTCACACCAAATATTTTAAAATAAAACAGTACAGTATTTTAATAAATGATTTCTTTTACAGTTTAGGTGAGTTTTTGAATTCAGAATATGACACCGTTGAACAAATTCTACTATACCTGCTAGTAGATACATTTTTTTATTGGATAACCATTTCTGGCATTCGGGGAGAGGGGGTGTTCTAGAGGTACAAGCAAACCTATTCTAACCAGAGTGGGAGGGTCCACCACGACATAAAAGTCAACCCCTCCCAGGTCGGGTTCGAACCGACGTCAATATGAACGAGGATGCTAGAACGAGCAACGCTCCAACACACTCGGGCTTCACGACCTCGAGTAGATAAATACAGTCCTTCGTAATGGAATTGTAATGTACAAGAACGATATGTTCATGAAGTTCATACTATAGCAATCTGTTGGGGGACTGAGCCCCCACCACGGCAGTAGAGAAGTAAACTTCGCAGTATTGGTGGCGTGGGCTCAAGCCCTGCAAGCCCCAAGTATTCGGTGCCTATGATACTACCAATCAATATGAAATGTTTAATATAACGAAGTTTACTTTTCTTATCAACACATTGAAAACTGGGTGAGATCTGGAATCATAGTTAGTAACGGCGGGCATAAATACGACCTATGGAACAAGGCTTCTTCCACTTCTTCCTTTGCACTATTATCCACTAGTAATGGCATCCAAAATCAGCTCCCTCAGTCGTCTTAGTTGGGTGCTGTTGCATATCATGGCATCATGTTGCTGTAGCATACTGTTCTAGCATCGTGACACACTCCACCTTTTCATCTTAGTATCGGTCTAAACAGGCCACCTTGTACCAAGTTGCTCTTCTGATATGATCTTGCTTGAGTTGGATTTCTAGGTCAGACATTCTTGACATATGACTTAAAATCTATGAATACATGGTGGACAGTAAATTTATACTCCTAACTTTATGAGCGTTTGGTGGAGAATATATTGTACAATTGATCAGTGGTAAACTTTCAGATGGGAATGTGCAATGATATCGACCAAGAATCTACTAGGGACAGGCGTATCTATGGGGGGAGGGATGGCTTTCGGGCTGTAGTCCCTCACCCCTCCAAAAAATGGTAAAATATATCCATATCTTATGAAAAAAAAAATATTTAAAAAGTGCCTCTAAAAGTATTATTGTTCGTGTGATTACATTTAATGAGACTTCAAGAATAACTCAATCATAATTTCATAAAGATAGTTTCTTTCTTTTTCTTACAAAGTAATTATCGTTATATATATATATATATATATATATAAAAGGTTTCGAGCTGAAGGTCCTCACCAAAATTAAATCCTGGATCCGCAAGGCTGTATGGAGAAGATCGCTGCTCGCAATGGAGAAGTAGTCTCTGATAAAAAATATTAGAGAGAAAATCAAGTGATACAGGGATAAGTGTGGTTCCTTTATAATTCCAGTATTCCAGTTGACTCATTTTTCTTCTTTGATTCATTATTTTGTAGACATGGTTATTCATCTAAGTGGCGTGTTGAAATAGCCATAAACTTGTTGATCTTCCTTGAAACCTTAAATATTTTCTGTGCAAGATTGAATTTATTCGCGAGCAGAAATATTGTTATTTGGTAGTGCATTCCTGTTCCAGTTCTTTTGATTGAAGCCTGGTCTCCAGTGTCTCAACTTATCTATCCTTAGCCCTCGTAAAAAATGTTAACTCGGCAAGATGTCAGATAATAGGATGGTTCCAGTGACTATGGATTACACATTATCCGGTATACGTAAACCAAAAACCTTTTGTTTAGGCAGCATAGCAACAACCAAGAACCAAAAATGGTCTTATGATAGTTATCATATTGTAATGATTTTCGCTCCCTCTAAGCGGTTCTCCGTCCAACTTGATGGAATCAGAGATTCGAGATGATCATAGTACTCGAAAAAATGAACAAAATAAATACTATTGAGCTTTGAATTCGTGTCTTTATTTATTGGCTAGCTTCGATCGATTGCCTTGCAACAGGCTGAGAGAACTATAATTAAGGTCTTTTCCAACAACCCATACCAGACAAATTAACAGAGAAATAATTGCTGTGAAAGAAGCTGTAAAGAAACAACTAAGTATCGATCCGGAACAATCGCATATTTGTTGTAGTTCGAAACAAATATCTAGTGACAAGTATAACCATGGCTCAAGATAGACATAAATCGAGATTGGTGGTCGTAAAACTCACAGAATAAGTAAGTTTAGTTCTCAGAATCAATTACTTCACCATACTGCGTCTCACCTGCGTCCCGCCTGAGTATATGGCATTATAAGTTGTGCATTTGACAGTGATACTGACATGAACCAAAACCAAAATGGCTCAAGGAAGAGGAAAAAAAATCTTTACTTTTAAATCTGTGAAAAGTCGTACTCATCAAGTATCTAATGGAAGTGTTTTTCAGGGACGTAAATATCCTCTCTGAACCCCCTCTTGGTAAGGGGACCACTTCAGTCTCTAGCCGAGAACCCCCAGACCAGACCTGGGGACATTAAACCATCCCACAAAAATCCTGGGGACACAGACATATTGTCTAAAAGTAGGACTGTCCCTCTAGTCACTTTAGCTATAACCAAATAATGGTCGGAATAAACTCAACTGAAGCACCTCTTTGAGACCTGATATCAGTTAACTTCGGCTTATTTCAGCTGATGATTAAGAGGAGAGCAAACTGCGAATATTTAGGTTATGCGAGGCCAGTGGTACCCATCCCCCCTCCGCCAAGGTCGATGGCGCATGAACCTTCCTCCACCCTTCCCAAGATATTTTATTGCTTTCCTCCTCTTAAAAACAGTACAAACAAACGTAGAAAAATTAAAAATTCGTAGATTATATGTATATAATCTTTTGATTATAGACATCCTACAGTCTGTTCTATGTTTCCACTTGTCATTTGATTCAAAATCTTTCATTTCTAAAATGCTTTACTCCATCGAAATGTGCCCTCCTCAAAAATTCGAAACCCTGTAAAAATGTGCATCTATCCACTCTATTTTTTTTAGTGAAGTGGTTAGCTTTTTCCTGTCATTCTTCGAAATGCACCCATCCTAAGGTCACTTTTTACTATGCGAGACATTGATCTGACAGAGATTCCCGTTTCCCGAGACATGATTTGTTATTTTCGAATGAGATTTCTTCTAATTCGAGCAGCCACTGCTCTCACTGCATTTGCCGTTCTCACAGTGTGGGGGCCTGGTCGAAGTCTGTCACAAACAGATAGATTCTCATTATATCTATTTATAGTGCAGTATACGAACATACAGCTGATATCCAAAGGTTTCAAAGTGTTGAAATTCTCTGACCTACATTTTCCAACTTTGTTTAAGGCGATCACAGCTATTCGGTTTTCTTTATCACCCCACTCCATGTTAACTGAGAGAAAGAAAAATACAAACTAATTGGGATTATTATCCTGACATGTAAAGAAAATAACCTGATAGAGGTAAGGATTATCTAAATAATACCCAAGGATGTAAACAAAGTTCAACTTTTGTAACAGTATTTATGGTAGAACTAGGTATAAGTATGTGATATTAACCTATGGCAGACTGAATGGATTTTTTTTTATTCACATATATTGGTTATAAAAACATTTTGATCTACATTTACATTCTTAGTCAATTATTATTTAAATGGGCACATTTAAATAAGCCTCTCCCGGCTTCATCCCAATACCAGGGCTAAAATGTTACAATACTGACTTTGACGAATGCGTGGAGCCCAGGGGTGCCCATCCCCCTCCCCCAAGATCGATGGCATAAGAACCATTCTGCTTCTCTGTCAATCTTGGGCTATTTCTTCCCAGTTATTTGCATGCAGCTCTATTACATATTTGTTGATTCGATCTATCCATCTGGTTTAGGCCTTCAAAGTAGTTTCTTGTCTACAATTGAGGCATTTATCGGATCACAATACTTACTTATAATCTATTTGCAGTAAAGTTGTTGAATAAGCAACGTTCTCATCTGATTTTAAAAAATGATGTAGTTTTGTGTGCAGTAAATATATTTTTTTTTAAGCAAGCCCTTACTCAATGGTGCTTGGTGGCGGAAGCCCACTCCACCCTCTCTCCTGGAACCCTACTGTTAACTTTTAGCAGTAACATTTCATTTCCGTTGCAGTCTTCCAACCATTTGAAAATCAATGGCCGATTGTATGTTTCTGAATATTTCTTTTGTTATATACATTGTATTTTATTTGTATTGTCTAATTAAATTCTGACATTTATTTATCACTCTTTCTTCTTTTAGTTTTAAAGGATATTTTAACTAAATTTCAGGTGTACACACCAGAACTATAGGAACCAGTTGTAACATATTGCAGCGAAATGTGGCTGTTTCGACGACCGTTGCCTTATCTTCCAAGAGTACTTGTACAGAACCCAACATAATTATCAAACCTAAAATAGTGATGAAGCACATCTATACCAACACCGATTTTAGTGATGACTACATTAATTCAGAAGCATCTAAATATAAATCTTCAAATCTATTATTTTTTCATGAAGCGATAAAAAAAAATGTAGAAACAAAGAATTTTGGTGTCCAAGTCGAAATTCCTTCAGTATCATGTGTTAAAAAACATGTTTCGGTTCAGATTAAACCCATATGTTCGAGTGTGTTTGTACATACTGAGCTTCATGTAAGTGATTCCGCCACACAAACCACTAAAATATTGAAAAAAGATGTAGGTGTAGAAATAAATACAAACGATATTTATATTCTTAAATGTGATATCGGGACAAATACGGAAAAAGTAATGAAAGTTACAAGTTTTTCTAAGTATTCTGACACTATGGATTTGTTGAAAACAGCAGATGTAAGCGTAAACACTGCAAAAAAAAAAAGAGTTGATGCATCTGTAGAAACTTGTGAAAAGCTAAATTTTCCCCACAATAAGATAGAACTTTTATCAGAAGCGAAAAAATATAAAAAGGATATCGAGGAAACAAATAAATTAATTCTAATTTCCAAGTGAGTAGATTTACTTATTACATAATTATGCAAAATTTACATACATTTTACAATAAACCTAACGTGAGTGCATGTGTGTGAGTGCACAGATATTACATACTACTCCTGTTTGTGTGTATGTGTTTACATGTGCGTGCGTGCTTGAGTGTGTTTGTATGTCCAATGTCAAAAAAGATTGAGTACTTTCTTAGAAATGCGGGGATGCTAGAAAATCATTTACTAAAAATAATGTTTCCTGAATGGCGCATTGTATTGTTGCTTAGTGGAAGAAAAAACACAATTTGAATTTTAGAAATTTGATTTCAATATTAACAAACTAATATCTATCACCTTCATACCCAGCAATTTCTAACGTGATTGTAGGATTAATAACACCTTAATATATCACTTAATTATCATGATAGTTGAATGAAGGAAATATGTTTTTATTTTGAAGCAGTTTGTTGAGCATAATTAATGTACTTTCTTTATTAGTTCAAATATATCTGTCTAGCCCTTGATCGTTATAGCAGCGATATATTTAGCAACTTTTTAATCAATTCGGATCCTATCATATCGAGTTTTAGACCTCAGTTTGGATAATATAACAATGTACTAGGAAGAGAGAAGTTTCATTTCAGGAAGTGAATTTGAGAATGAAGCACAGGCGGATGTACGGTAGGGGGCCTTTCGGGTTGAAGCCCTCCTCCCCCAAAAATGAAATGAAATGAAATGTAGTATTGACAGTGCAGGATAGAGGATGGGAGGTCATTTATATAGATGGAGAAAAGGGTGGGGGATAAGGAAGAGCCTTGTGGGACGCCTCTGGTCAGAGGTGGAGATTCTGATGGGGGTTTATTAGGAATTACAACATACTGGGAGCGACTGGTAAGGAAGGATTTGAACCAAGTAAGGGAACTAGAAGAAAAAGAGATATTTTTAAGTTTGGTTAGGAGGATTTTGTGGTCTACTGAATCAAAGGCTTTGGAAAAGTCTAGGAGAATAAGGATGGTTAGTTTCTGCTGATCTATGGCTGTATGAAGGTCTTGGGAAATTTTGATTAGGGCAGACTGAGTAGAATAACCAGGCCTGAAACCAGACTGGTAGGGATTTAGGAGATTGTTGTCCTCTAAAAAGTGGGATAGCTGGGATTGGACTAATCGCTCTAAAGGTTTTGAGAGGTTAGAATCGGTCGGAAATCATTAAGAGTTGATGGGTTTGAGGTCTTCTTCAAGGGGCGTACTAGGGCAGTTTTCCCGGATGTAGGGAAAGTAGCATTTTGAAGAGAATAATTGTATATATGATAAAGGATCGGAAGAATGGATGGCAATGCGGCTTTAATCAGTCTGACTGGGATGTTATCGGGACCTTAATCATTGGTATGGGACTTCTGAATGGATTTAAGGAGATCATCTGGTGTAATATGAGAAAAAAAGAAGTATTAAAGGGAGAAAACATAGGAGCTGGACTGGACGTAGGAGATGTGGTTGCAAGAGGGCAGGAGACAAAGTGAGCGTTGAGGTTATCAGCAGAAACGGAATTGGACTGGGACTAAGGTGCATTGCCAATGGTCAGTTTTCTAAGAATAGTCCACGCGGCCTTGGTATTAGGAGAGTTGGATAGGGAATGATGGTAGTAACGGGATTTAGCACGGCGTACTGCTGATTGAGTGCTGTTACGAAGCTGTTTGAAGGAGAGAAAATCATCAGGAAGTCGAGTTCGTTTAAACCGTCGCCTTGCAGCATCTCTTTCTCTCATACACTCTCTCAAAACAGGAGTAAGCCAAGGAGCTGGAGGATATCGGATGGTTTTTGTGATAAGAGGAGCTTGTCGGTCGAGGATAGAGTGAAGTTGAGTGGTAAGGGTTTCTACCATGGTGTCTAAGGATTTTAAGGAGTATATGGGATCCCACTGGATATCGTCAAGATCTTTTGACAGTGCTTCGTGAGTGAGAGAATATAGGTTTCGGAAGGATATTGTTCGGGGAGAAAAGGATGGGACAGGGATATTGTAAGAGATCTGGATAAGAACGTGGGAAGATAGAAACGGGACCGAGTGCTGAGATGTGGCAAGGAGTTTGTCTGAGGAATCTAGGATTATAAAATCGAGCCAGGACTCTGAGTACTGAGTATGATGAGTTGGATTGTACAGTACTGTGTAAAGGCTGAGAGAATGAAAGAGGTTTATTAGGTAAGGATAATCGGAGGATGGTGTCAGAAAATTGGTGTTAAAATCTCCGGAGAGGATGATATTTGAGTAGGAAGGGATTAAGTTGTACAGAGAAGTCTTAAGTTAAATGGTGAAATTTAACCATGTATTATGGAAAAAAATATCTCTTAAAGTATTATTGTTCATGTAATTGCATTTAATAAGACTTCAAAGAATCACTTAAACACCATTTCATATAGGTAGTTAGTATCTTTCGGTTTTAAAAGTAATTATCGATATATATATATATATATATATATATATATATATATATATATATATATAATATATATATATATATATATATATATATATATTTCAGGTGGCTCTAGAGACCTTGTAGATCTTTGGCCGTCTGAACCAGCCTTCTCCACCTCTGCCTATCTTGGGCAACTGCTTTCCAGTTTGAAGCTCATCCGAATCTTTGTTTATCCTCTCTATCCATCTGGTTTTTGGCCTCCCACGTGGTCTCTTGCCTACTACTCTGGCATTCATTGTTGTGTAAAGGCGTCCTGATGGATTCTACGAGCTACATGCCCCGCCTACCTTAACCTCCTTGCCGTCATGTCATGAGATATTGACTGACCCGTTTCTTTCAGCAGTTCTTTACTGTTCCTTCTCCTCCATGTGTCAAAGTTCTGGTTCCATATAGGTCCTGTTATCCTACGTAGAAATTTTCTTTCGAATATGTAAATTCTGGCTTCTAATGTGCCGGTTAGAGCCCAGGTTTCACAACCGTACAGTAGAACTGGTTTAATCACGGCCGTGTACACCCTTATTTTTAGATTTCTGGATATTTTTCTGGATTTCAGTACCCTTGAAAAAGAGAAGAAAGATCTGTTCGCACTTGTTATTCGCTGGTCTATCTCTGTTATTTGATCATTTATTGAGGTTATTGTGGAGCCGAGATATTTGAATCTGTCTACTTTCGGGAATGACTTAGAGTTCACGCAGATCATGTTATCAGGGTGGATGTTTCAGCTATCATGTATTTTGTTTTATTTACATTGCCTTGTAGTCCGATTTGTTATGCTTCTTTTAACAGAGTCCAAGCGAGTCTCTCAATGTCCTCTTGATTACATCCGAGGATAGCTATATCGTCCGCATATGCTAGGATTTTGTGTTTCAATCCAACGTGCACCCCTCCATCTTCGCTTGATGTTCTAATTACTTTCTCCAGTGCTAAGTTGAACAGCATCGGCGAGAGTCCATCTCCGGACCTCAAACCTGTTCGAACAGAAGGTCTATGTCTTCTTTGTTTGTGGGGTGCCCTTGATAAGCAGCTGCTGGAAGTGCTCCTTTCATAAGCTTAGGATCTTTTCTTTTGATGCCGTCAATTTGCCATCTTTCGCTCGCATTTGTGTATTTATCGTTTTATTTCCTACCCTTTCTTTCCTGCGAAGGATTCGCATATGTTTCCAGCCTGCCAGTTTCCCTCAATAGTTTGTAATGTTTCTTCGAGGAATTCTTTTTTGGCTGTTCTTATTATTTTGTCTTTTTCCTGACGGCTGTGTATTTGTTCAGCATAGCTTGATCAGTTTGTAAGCAGAGGATTTTTGTTCTTACTTTTTTTTCTTCTTTCCTTCACTGCCTCTGTGAACCATTTTTTGGCTTTTCTTTTTTCCTGAATCCCTGTAACTTCCTTAGCTGTTTGTTTTAGCCCTGACCTTTGAGCCTCCCAGGGTTGGTCAACCGTGAGGCCTTCCGGGTTCAGGAGTTCAAATTTATTTTTCAGCTCAATTTTAAATTCAGCTTGTACTATAGGGTTGTAAAAATTACGGACTTCGTACCTCTTTCTATCGACTTGGTCCCCAATTCGGTGGGTTCGCTTCAGCCTCTGACAGAGTTTGATTTTAATCAGAGTATGGTCCGAATCACAGTTTGCTCCACGATAACGCCTTATGTCTTGTATGGAGCTTTGATGCATCTTGTCTATCAGCACATGGTCGATTTGGCTTTTTGCTCCTTTAGGACTTACCCAGGTATACTTATGTATGTACTTGTGCAGGAACATCGTACTGCTTACTACTAGACCTTTAGCAACTTCCAGACCAATACATCTCACTCCATTGTCATTGCTAGTTTCGTGGAAACTTTGGCTTCCGATAATGGGCTTAATTGGGTTTCTCGACCTATCTTGGCATTGAAGTCTCCCATGACTAATTTTATGTCATATTTTGGAACTTAGTCCTCAACTGTTTCTAACTGATCGTAGAAATCGTCCTTCACTTCATCCTCTTTTTCTTCGGTTGGTGCATACACGTTAATAATCGTGATATTAAACCAACGACCTCTTACGCGCAGCACACTTATCCTTTCATTAACTGGGGTGAAGTTTATTACTGACTTTCTTGCGGCCGAATTAACTATTACTTCAGTGCCAGCTATCCCATTTTTTGTCGTTACTCTCGGTGTAGAACAATGTGTAGCCATCTACAGTGGTTTCCCCACCATCTGACCATCTTACTTCTTGAATGGCTGTTAACGGTATATTGTATCTTTTTACTTCATTAACTACCGTTTGGGCGGCTCCTGGTCTGTATAAGCTCCGAACAGTCAATAATCCGATATGGAGTCTGTTATACAAAGCCGGAGTCGTTACCATGTTAAGACAATCACACTTTCCGAGGCTGGTTTTTGGTTTCCTAATATGGTGTTTTTGACGGGATAGGGTTATTAGCCCTATGCCCAATTCCCAATCTAGAGGACCAGAACCTATGTCTATCACAGGGTCACTAACCTCCCTGTATCCAGTAGACTACATACCCGAGGGGGGGATCTCGGGCAGCGTGACTTACCATGGTGGACGGTCACCCAAATCGGGCGATCACCCATCCAAGTACTGACCTTTGATTACCTATTGCAAGCGTCTTAGCCCGTACGGCTACCCCGGCCCCATGTATATATATATATATATTTAAAAAAAAAAGCTTTCAGGCTGAGGGGCTTCAAACCCCCTCCCTACAATCCTTATTGGTGAGAGTACCATTTTTTTGGCACTTATAAATATGGATGATATTTGTTTGACTATATTTCTAATTCTGTTTGCTATTTAAAAGAATATTCTGGTATCCCATGTGCCTTCCGCCTTCCATTTCTTCTAATTCTAAATTTTAGCATATTCTTTTCTTCTTGTGGTGTATTTTCTACTTCTCTGTTCTACTGTTTACACCCCATATCAAACCAGATGATACCCTGGATTCTTTTTTTTTTACTTACCCTAAAATTTCTTCGGTAGCTTGTTTCACTGCACTACAATGCATTAGTTGAATGAACACTGTCCCTCCGATTTAGATGTTGGATCTTCGTATTGCACTTTTCATTTTTCGTACTTCACTTAGACGCCCACAGTGTGATAAGAATAAAAAAAATTGACGAATCGTTAAAAGAATAATTTAATTGTATACTATTAATAAAGCAACTGAATTAGAGAAATTTTGAATGAAATAAAATTCAAATATCACTTAATATAAAAGAATTTAAGAAATAAGTTAATTTTTTTGGAAAGAGATGTCATTCTCCAGGGGCGCCAAATGTCCAATGAAGGCACTGCACAGCACTTCTACCTCTTTCATCGTCTTGCGAACCAATTTACTTTTGGTGGATCCCTAACTCAAGCATTCTCTTATAGAGTTCCTTTCTTGAAACACTATCATATGCCACCTTGAAATGTAAAAATGGGTGCTGATTCTGAATTATCTTGCCCTTTCTACTATGATTCTGAGGGTAAACATCTGGTTGGTGGTGGACTATCCTTTCAAGAATCCTGCTTGATAACAACATATTTTTCTTCGAGTATACGGTGAAATTCTCTCGAACGAAATCCTTGAGAATTTCTTGTAGGAGCTTGAAACTAGCGATAATTCTCAGTAGTTAAAGCATTCTAGTATCCCTCCTTTTTTTGTATATCAGACATATATAACAGTTTCGTACCTCTTATTTAGCAATTCTTTCCACTGTCATATATCGATGAAAAGATTGTGCAGGGATCTTACTAGTTCCTTACATCTGTGGTTAAACAATTCCTCTCATAGGCTCTCTGATTCAGAAGTTTTGTTGTTATTTAACTTCTTTACGGCCTCGGTTGGACCTGATGTTCATGTGGAGGCTCAAGTTCCTCTCTAGAGATTTCTTCAGGATCGCTTTTTAGTCTATCATCACCCTCGAGAAAGAATTGGTTCTTTTATCTGTTAATAAGGCTTTCCTCGTCCATTCCATCTTGGTCTCTGCACCCATTCATTCGAGATTTAAAAGGTTTTCTGGTGTTGTTTATTATCTATTTTGCTCCATTTGAACTAGCTGCTCACGGTACCATCCCTTTTCGTTTGCCTGTGAAGTTTCTTTTGCGTCTTTTATTGCGTCGACAAATAAACTGAACTACGGGTATACTTTCTTTGAAACATTTGCTTGTATTCTTTATTTTTGGCATCTACTTTCAGCATCGAACCAAGGTGCACTCCTTGTGGTCTCAATCTCGCTTTTTCTGGTGACTTTCAGTAAAGCTTCTATAAATAAAACCCATGTCTGGTTGCGCACTAGCTGATCCAGGATTTAATTTTTTGTTTGGGGGGGATGGGCTTAAACCCGAATGTATATAAAACGATCATTACTTTGGAAGAAAAAAAAAAAGATCCTAACTACCCATATGAAATGGTGTTTAAGTGATTATTGAAGTCCTATTAAATGTAATTACATGAACAATAATACTTATAGTGATAATTTTAAATTTTTTGTTTCATAAAACACGGTTATATTTTACCATTTGGGGAGTGCTTTGGACCTCGGTGATGAGTTCCTTCCCTTGTCGTTAGTGACTTCGTGTATGCTATATTTTCCAATATTAGGGGAGAATGCAGGCTCCTTCCACATCTGCGCATTGAAAACCTCTAACACGACCTTCACATCTGCTCAACAGCACTCAATGGAGCATCATTCCAAAGCAGCCTAAAAAATCTCTTCCTCATAAAAAACCGGTAAGAAAGTGGGTGCTAATGAAACTATAGATATAGAATTTACCTTTTGTACGGATATTCTTGGGTTAATAGGGTTAAACCCTATGATAACCTGGTCCCCACTCTTTTCTTGACTATTAAGCCAGTACCGGAGGTATTATCACGATTATTATATCTGTACAATATTGTGTGGTTTATTTTCTTGAAAATACCTTGACCGGTCCATGTCATCTCCTGAACATCAACAATGTCTACATTGTAGAGATCCAGTTGTATAAAAGACTGTTGCAAAGTTCTAGGTCTGTAGAGGAATAAAACACTACAAATGGCAACTTTCAGTTCCTTTGAGCATTATGTCATTGACTATAAAGTTTCGTCCGGTTCGTCTTTGTGTAGAATTAGTGTTCAACAGTTTTTTAAGGGGAGTGAAATATCAGTCCACTGCCCCCTCCCCAATTCAGATGAAGGAGCGGCCTCCTGAGCGCCCTGACGTACCCTTGAGTTTCCGATCCTAATTTCTCAGTATGCCGAACCCACTGAAAAGAGGCTTCCCGGCTGCAACGATGGGAGCCATCCGAAAACCCTGCCTTCACCTTCGCTTCCGCATCCTAGGGAGCTGACCACTATTGCGTGGTTTTACTTCTTTGCAGAAAAGGGTCTCTGAATGTTGTTGGACTTCGGCAGGCATGATGACTATGTAGGTGTATCATAATTACTGATATCCCAACACTAACGACTCGCTTGACTGAAAAAATCTTAGAACTTGCTATATTTTTATAAAGTAGCAAGCATTGAAATTAGCCAGAAAATAAAACAATTATTTATACAAATAATTTAAATTTGTCTAACTCAGAAAAGATTTGTTCTGCAGTTTTTAAAATTCTATGTTTGACTTTCCTAGCACCATATTATAAGCATGGAAAATTAAATATGTTTATGACCAATGGTTGAGAATGATTTGCTTAAGGATGTTTTAGTTAATTGATAAGCCAAGTTTATTCAATTTCATATTTGGGTACTATAATTTTTATGACCTCCTAGAAAGACAAATAATCCTTTGTTAGTGTTCAGTGAACGTTTTGATTACATCAAGTTTTTTAGTGCTTAATATTGTTTTTATGTAGTAGTTACTACATTATTGTGTTTATAATTCCTACGCATGCAGGAAAATTATTCCATATTTTCAGCTAACTACCACAGGTTTAATATATACATTTAAACTTATCTACTATTGTATATTTAAAATGTTATAATTTGAATTTGTCTTTAATTAACTCCTTGTTGATATTTTATGTTTTAATAGAATACATTACTTGCTTTTGTTTTTTTTAAATTTAAAATAACATGATTTGATCTGTTTCAAGATAAGACTTACTATATTACATTTACAGTACTTTATTATTTAGCCTTTGATAGTGACCATTTATCTTATTTTGCTTTTATAATTTGAATATGGATCATTAACTTAGTTTTGGCTCAAAATATCTGTTCTAGGAAATATGAGTTTTGTCTTATTTTACTTGTGCAACTTATTAAAATTATTGATTAAATTAAAATTAAATGATTTCTGAAACAGGTATCTTTTTTATATTTGTTTTCATGATAAGTAATGAGCAGAAATAATTACTTTTTCAAAAGTCAAATTGTTTCAATTTTAAAACATTGCTATTAATGAGATTTTTTCATAATTTATAAACCAGAGTTTCTTTGTTTTACAGTCCATTGCGTAACAAATGCAATGAGAAAGCAGAAACTACAGATGAAATTCAAGAAAAAAATTTTCCAACTATTCCTGTAGCATCTAAAAGACTAGAAAAGTAAGGAATACCTGATTTAATACTCTAATTTTTAAGTATGCATGTTAAACTTTGTCCTTATTCTTCTGACCCCTATGGGGTTCAACTTTCATATTGGATATATTACAAATTTTGGTTTTAGTTTACAAGTGTAAGGTCTGGATGACGGGTGGGCCAAGATCACTCCATCACACTGTACATGGAATGCCAAAAGTAGCTGAGCGTTTCCGAATGAGTAAAGAGGCAGCTGATCTCCAGAATCCTAATTTTCCATGATTCTAGGAGGCTTAATTTCCTATCTTCGTCACTTCTTCCTATTAATAAATATAAAGGTAATGCTATAGTTCTGTCACATCTGGATGACAAGTGGGCCAAGATCACATGATCACGCATGGAATGCTGAAGCAAAGCACATCTTTCTTTTGACAGATTAGGTTAGGTTATATTTCTAACTGAAACAATTAAATTAATTTGCCTCTAGATTTAAATGCAATTTAATATAAGAAATAACCAGAAACCACTTATTAAAATATAGTTTATGATTTTTATGCCAATGTTTACAGAATATTCTTTAATAATGTGTTTGTGGAATGATAACAGATTATATTAACAATTGGACAGTGATCGGATAATTTTTTTTAGGATTTTATTAATAGTTATTATATGCTAAGCAAATTTAAAAATACTTGGAATTTGAGGATGTTATATCTTTACTGTAATCTTAATGATATTATTTATTACTTTTCGTTGGTCCATTATTAAACTGTTAAACACTTTCATTTACTTCTCTATTTAAGCAATATTATTTTAATTGAATTCCTAGCTTTATAGTTATTGTGGTTTAAAGTTATTGTACTTAATAATTGAAAAAATTAAAGGGAGTCGTGATTATTATCATTGGAAATCATCAAAATTGTATTTAGATTAGCAGACTATACCATACCTGAAAATATGAGGGAGTGACTAGGATATATACAAAATAAAGATCTATTAAAGCAATTATACATATCTTTTTTGTATTTGTAAAAAAAACACAATTTTACATCAAAATATGTGTCTTGTTACTGGTCTTGTTCTTTCGTCATTCTTTCCCAAGCTGTGATATCTCACAAGTAGTTTATGGGTATGTCACATGAATCCTGCTCCAGGTGCATGACTGTTCAGTTTACGATCTAGTGAAAAAAATAGATGTTAGGCTCAGTCATTGAATTATGTATTAGTATTTTAAAATCAGTTAATAGTTATACATGAAATTTAAATTTCTAAAATATTGATTCCTACTATAATTTTGTATTTAATATGAAATTATTATTTAAAAGTGATGATTGCATACAAGTTGATATTTAAGGAATTTGATTTTACATGCATATTTGGATTTTCAGATATAAGAGAGCCTACTGTAATGTAACATTCGGTGTAATATTACTAAAACCTTACTTAATAATTCGATATTAGAGTGCTACCAATGGGTAGTTTCTCAAAAAGCGTGTTTCATGTTGTTATATTCTTCTGTACACATTTACTTGATGTATTCATACTAATACAGTTGTAAATATCATAATAAAAGTTTAAAAAAATTAAATAATTCGAAATTGTCAAGGGATTCAGTCAATAATCCGAAATAGTTTAAGATTCGTAACAAAATTGTGCTCATTTTGTTATCCGAAGTATGATCTAACATAATAGTTAGGGTAAGTCAGTTACTACTTTTTTATATTTATTGTTATGTAGGTTTGTAGATCGGTTATTTCTTTACACTTTCCCACTTGTTTTGCCATTCCATGCAGAATGTAATCAAAATGATCTTGGCCGACCAGTTATCCAGACTTGAATCTACAACAGTATTGCCAATATAAATAAAATTGTAAATTGACTTATACATATTTAGGCTATAATGTAAACGGGTTTTCAAATATTGAAAAGACATCATTTTTATAGCATTTCCAAGTCAATTTCAACCTTTTCTAAGTCAAATTCAACCTTTTCCATTTCAAATTAAACCTTTTCCATTTCAAATTCAACCTTTTTTTATTTATTTAATTATCTTTAATTTTTTGATGTGTGGGTCTGTTATCGTATGAGTAGTTTTTGAAAATAACCTCCTTTTTAAGATTACGCCACTGCGTTCCGACTTATTAAAGTTTTTTTTTATTTATTCGATGTAAGGGTATATTTTTATGTTTCCGGAGCTGTAGATTTTGAAAATGACCTCCATTTTACGATTACGATGCTGCGTTTTGACTTATTTAAGTTTTTCGAATTTATCGAATATAAAGGTCTACTTTTATGTTTCCGGAGCCGTAGATTTTGAAAACGACCTCCATTTTAAGATTAGGCCACTGCGTTTCGACTTATTTGAGTTTTTCGGATATTTTTCATATGAGGGTGTATTTTTATGTTTCTGGAGCTGTAGATTTTGAAAATGACCTCCATTTTAAGATTACGCCACTGCGTTTCGACTTATTTAAGTTTTTTTTATTTATTCGATGTAAGGGTGTATTTTTATGTTTCCGGAGCTGTAGATTTTGAAAATGACCTCCATTTTACGATTACGATGCTGCGTTTTGACTTATTTAAGTTTTTCGAATTTATCGAATATAAAGGTCTACTTTTATGTTTCCGGAGCCGTAGATTTTGAAAACGACCTCCATTTTAAGATTAGGCCACTGCGTTTCGACTTATTTGAGTTTTTCGGATATTTTTCATATGAGGGTGTATTTTTATGTTTCTGGAGCTGTAGATTTTGAAAATGACCTCCATTTTAAGATTACGCCACTGCGTTTCGACTTATTTAAGTTTTTTTTATTTATTCGATGTAAGGGTGTATTTTTATGTTTCCGGAGCTGTAGATTTTGAAAATGACCTCCATTTTACGATTACGATGCTGCGTTTTGACTTATTTAAGTTTTTCGAATTTATCGAATATAAAGGTCTACTTTTATGTTTCCGGAGCCGTAGATTTTGAAAACGACCTCCATTTTAAGATTAGGCCACTGCGTTTCGACTTATTTGAGTTTTTCGGATATTTTTCATATGAGGGTGTATTTTTATGTTTCGGAAGCTGTAGATTTTGAAAATGACCTCCATTTTAAGATTACGCCACTGCGTTTCGACTTATTTAAGTTTTTTTTATTTATTCGATGTAAGGGTGTATTTTTATGTTTCCGGAGCTGTCGATTTTGAAAATGACCTCCATTTTATGATTACTCCGCTGCATTTTGACTTATTTAAGTTTTTCGAATTTATCCAATATTAAGGTCTACTTTTATGTTTCTTGAGCCGTAGATTTTGAAAATGGCCTCCATTTCTTGATTACGCCATTGCATTTTGACTTATTTAATTTTTTCGAATTTATCCAATTTAAAAGTCTACTTTTATGTTTCTGAAACCGTAGATTCTGAAAACGACCTCCATTTTAAGATTAGGCCACTGCGTTTCGACTTATTTGAGATTTTCGGATATTTTTCATATGAGGGTGTATTTTTATGTTTCGGAAGCTGTAGATTTTGAAAATGACCTCCATTTTAAGATTACGCCACTGCGTTTCGACTTATTTAAGTTTTTTTTATTTATTCGATGTAAGGGTGTATTTTTATGTTTCCGGAGCTGTCGATTTTGAAAATGACCTCCATTTTATGATTACTCCGCTGCATTTTGACTTATTTAAGTTTTTCGAATTTATCCAATATTAAGGTCTACTTTTATGTTTCTTGAGCCGTAGATTTTGAAAATGGCCTCCATTTCTTGATTACGCCATTGCATTTTGACTTATTTAATTTTTTCGAATTTATCCAATTTAAAAGTCTACTTTTATGTTTCTGAAACCGTAGATTCTGAAAACGACCTCCATTTTAAGATTAGGCCACTGCGTTTCGACTTATTTGAGATTTTCGGATATTTTTCATATGAGGGTGTATTTTTATGTTTCGGAAGCTGTAGATTTTGAAAATGACCTCCATTTTAAGATTACGCCACTGCGTTTCGACTTATTTAAGTTTTTTTTATTTATTCGATGTAAGGGTGTATTTTTATGTTTCCGGAGCTGTCGATTTTGAAAATGACCTCCATTTTATGATTACTCCGCTGCATTTTGACTTATTTAAGTTTTTCGAATTTATCCAATATTAAGGTCTACTTTTATGTTTCTTGAGCCGTAGATTTTGAAAATGGCCTCCATTTCATGATTACGCCATTGCATTTTGACTTATTTAATTTTTTCGAATTTATCCAATTTAAAAGTCTACTTTTATGTTTCTGGAACCGTAGATTCTGAAAATGACCTCTATTTTATGATTACGCCTTTGCGTTTCAACTTATTTAAGTTTTTAGAATTTAACAAGTATAAAGGTCTAATTTTATGTTTATGGAGCAGTAGATTTCCCTAATTTTGTAAATGACCCAATTTCAAGTTTATGCCACTGTGTTTTGGATTATAAAAGTTTTTTTTTTTACTTATTCGGTATAAGGATCTACTTATATGTTATCCGAGACGTATTGAAATTTTTCTAATCTTTAATATTTAAATTTATCTAATATTTAAGCTCCTAATCTAATATGATTAAGCCGCCCGCATCTCGATTAATTTGGCTTCGTTTTGGATTTTTTCAATACAAAGTTTCATCAATATGTTTTCGAGTATGATAAATAAATAAATATTATGAAGCTAAAGTTAAATTAACCACAGAATACAAACTAAAAAGCCGAAAAGTAAATGGTGATAAATTTAACCTTCCATATTCAGATTTTTCAGCTAATTGTTCGAAATCTTATAATTTTGTGACAGGAGACCACAAAATTAAAAAAGAAAACTAAAATTAAATTAAAAATGAGACAATACATATTTTATTTATTTTGATTAGATATTTTTATTTATTTATTGAAAAATAAATTAATCCTTCGTATTTTGTTTTTTATTCGAAGGAAAATCAAAAACACTTTAAAAAAAAACGAAACGCAGTGGCGTAATCTTAAAATGGAGGTCATTTTCAAAATCTACGACTCCGGAAACATAAGAATACAAT